CTGGGAGGCTGTGGTTGCTGCTGCACGCAATGTTGATGGTGAACAGATCAAAACACTGACAGAATCCATGGATGGCAGGCTTTTGAGTGTCCTTGCAAAGAAAGGTGGCTATATTGGTCACTGATTTGTTTTTGTTTTGTTTTTGAATGTCAGAAATGTATATTTGTGAATGTGGAGATGTTATATTGGTTTCACTGGTAAAAATAAATAATTGAAATGGGTATATATTGGTTTTTTGTTAAGTTGCCTAATAATTCTGCACAGTAATAGTCACCTGCACACACAGATATCCCCCTAAAATAGCTAAAACTAAAAACTACTTCCAAAAACATTCAGCTTTTTTTCTAAAGATTTTTTATTCATCTTCAGTCATGAAAAGATAAAAAAAAAATACTGATTGAGGTCATCAGAATTCATGCATGACAGGGTTAAATGACACGTCATACATCTGTAGTAACATTAAACGACCAGTGGGTGGCAGAGTATGGAGGGACACATCAGAGTGTAATGGTTTATGTGCAGGTACACCATCAACACTGACACAAGCACAACAAACAGCCTTTGAATAGCTGTCCACTGTAGTGACCACTATGGTCACAATCTAGCATGAAAAATTTGCCAAGTGAAAACAGTAGAGCTACCTGCTGTGGTGAATCAGGCAGCAGCATTTTCATGGATGTCTCACGTATTGTTTCATTGTTTCTTTTACATCAACTTAACAATTCAACAATTCTTCAGTGGATGAATGACAGCATTGGCAGAAGTTGATAAGTTTGTTCACTTTTAAATAGGAGGTTAATAAAAACTACTACTAATTACTTTTTATTGAAGATCTTCAGTGTTAACTGTAAATGGAACGACATCATAAAGAGACTATTTTTCCTTTCCGCTGACATAACAATAACATGGAAGAACAAAACGAGCAGCTGTGGCTCAGGAGATTGTCGGAAGGTTGGTGGTTTGATCCCCGGCTCCTCGGGTCTGGATCTATCCATGAAACAGAATACTGAACCACTGAAGCATTTATCCGAGTGTGAATGTTAGACAAAAGCACTTAGGGACAGAAAAAAGTGCTTGTGTGATGTGTGTGAATAAGCTGAATGAGCCTCATAATAGAAAGTGCTTTGGGGCTTAAATACAGTAGGAAAGAGCTATAAGTACTAGGACCAAAATGACACACTGCTACAATGAACTCTGTGTGTAGCAGCCTAGCAAGTGTGTGAAAGTGAAGCTCGTGTGTGCATTTGCTTGTCTTGTTGAGAGATTGGGGGAAGAAAAAAGTAAAGAATGAAAGAAATGGGGGGGATTGCAGTGGCTCCATTCCCTTTTGCTTCTTTCTATTCTGCTGCTGAATTCACCCTCAACCAAAAACACCTCACATTCTGTAATTCCCTCCCCCTGTTTGTGCCTCTCTCTCTCTCTCTCCTACTCTGCAGCAGACTACAGCACAGTCAGCTACTATGGGGACTGCAGTCTTACGCTATAGCACAAGCAGAGAGCTGGGGGTGGGGGGTTGAACGAGGTGGGGGAGTGAGAGCATATTGGGTGGAGGGTTGGTGAGAAGGGACTGAATAGCAATAATAAGCAATATAGCACTCATCTCTGATTATGTAGCACAGTAATAAACCACAGTGAGCTGTCGGTGCGATGACACGAGAGAACGGGATCGGAGATGGACCATGTAGATTGTGAAGCAGAAGACAGACAGAAATGGGCAAACCTGGCACCTTTGCAAATATAATACACATACTTAAGGACAGACGCCACAGGACAACAACTCATGCCGTCCTGCTTTTCTTTGTCAAACATCTTTGTGAAAAAACGTTTAAACCTTCATCCTGAAACAAGCTAATCGGCTAACAGAAGCTGGACTTTAGCTTACCTGAGTGTTGCTGCTGCGCTGACCATCTACCTTTCAACCCAACCTTTTTGTCCCAGTGCTGGCACCAAAACTATTGACTGCAACACTTTCAAAGTCACTTCCACTGTCACACTGATGCTGTCCTAACCCCCTCAACCATGACATCAGCTTGTCTTTTTTTGTACTATCACCCCTCATTATTCAGTCACTCGTTTGCTGCCATTTACATTGCAGACCTGTCCATTTTTATGGTACTTCATGTTTCCACAGGTCCTCATTCCTGTGATATCTACATATGGACGCAACACTATGGTTAAGAAAAGATCTTGGTTCGTATGAGGTTTTTGTCTGCACAAACTGGGGTCCCCTATATAGACACGAGGACCATCTACAGCCAGACTGCCTGCTTTTCTGCATAAAGGGCATTCTGCGTCCTGCACTTACACTAAAAGTTGCAGCATCATTCTATTTGACTGTATTTTGTGAGGACACTGGGTTGGAACAAGCCTCTCTGAACTGCAACACTTGCATAAACTGAGTGAGATCCTCTTTGACCGATACAGCAGACATGCTGATAGAAATGTTCACCTATATCACTGTTGACGTCTGATTGCTGTTTCACATGTGGATGAGGTGCTGGGCCACACCTCAGTTTGATTAAATTAATCCAGCAGCCTTGTCTTCAGCTTGAGAAAATAACGTCTGAAAATTATTTATTTACTGTAGTAATCTAACAAGTTTACTTGAGTTGTTCACAAAAACAACACCTGTGGTTTTTACAAATTAAATCTCACCCACTTTGGTTTGTGCACTGGTGCATTGCAGCATTTGTCAGAAGCTGATTTGCCTTAATTCTACTAAAAGTTCAGAGTATCAATCATCACAACGCAGCTCTCCTTGAAATGACTGTTGTTGCATTGACACTATAAAAACCAAGAGAATTCCATCAGAGAGCTTTGCTGACATCTTATAGTTTTCTCTAATCAGCAGAACTTTCAGTAAATTTAAAGTGGGTAAAAAAGCAGCATATTTAAAATACAATACTCTAGATAGTAAAGCCCACTTTATGGTAAATAGCCTGGTTCTTATTCAGCATCCTTCTAGTCACCACTCTGTACAAAACACATCATTTACCCAAACACTGTCTACATGTAAGTGCTTTCTGCCTCTGATAAATACACCACAGAGCAGACTGGGCTTTAGTATCTTGCCCAAGAATACTTTGGCATGCCGACTGGAGCAGCCAGGGATCACACGCTTAACCTTCCAATTAGCATGTGACCTAATCTAGTCCTGAGCTAGTACAGTTTCTCCTCTGTGTTGAAAAGCAGACTGCAGACCAGCTGCACATAAACATCTTCAAACTGCTTTGGTGCCAGCGAAAAGGTTTAACATAGTCTCACCTTCCACAAAATAGTCTCATGCAACCAAGAAGCTCGTTACATATCAAAGCCAGTTCTTGTCACCATGATGTTGTGATGCTGTACTGTCAAACAAATCACTTTTTTCAATCACTGGATCTAAGAACTGCACCAGATTCAACAGGAGGCAGTTTAGATGGAATTTAATTCAAGAATAGTGAAAACTGAAAATGAAGGTGAGCTCCTGTTCTCTCGTGGAGCCCCGTGGACTCTGTCCACACAAACACCAGCTGCAAGTTCAGGTTAGAAGGCCATTTGTTGTTAGTGGTCTCTTTGTGCTCCTCTTTCCTCTCTTCTCCTTCCACTTACTCCCAGCCGCAACTTGGAACAGGAACTGCCCAAAAAGACTCATTGGCTGTCCTCTGCCACCCCCCGAGGCCATCGCCACATCCTGCTGCCTCAGGGCCCAGGGCCATCCCAGGTGACCCATTGCACTCCCCCTACCACCTGTTTGACCAGCAGGTCAGCAGCTCAGGCCAATCAGGTCCCACACCACCAGGCTCACTAACAGCCTCTTCCCCTGGGCCATTCAGACTGTTAACAAGCACTATCCCCCCACAGCCCACCCCTGCCCACCCACCTCACCTGAGCCATGGTCTCAGAAACCTTCATCACTCAGGCTACTCACACATGGACTCTATTTAGACCAAGTCCTTTCTCTGGACTTCTTCAAGCACTTTACAGCTATGTTGTTCTAAATGTGTGCCTTTCTCGTCTTTTTGTGTATGTCCCTCTTCATTGTAAATACTTCTCATGTTTGTTATTTATTCCTGCTGTCTGCTGTGTACATTTTATTTTGGCACCGCTGGTTTTGTTGTACATGTACAATGACCAAAAAGGGCTATTCTATTCTATTCTATTCTATTCTATTCTATTCTATTCTATTCTATTCTATTCTATTTTTGCATTCTGATATTTATCTTTCTATTAAAAGACAGCTCGGTTCTTGCTTGATTGTAAGGGCATACTTTCCTATTTTCTAGGGCCTTTGACTTCAGATTGTGATAAAACTCCTACATATACACAGCATGCTGAGATTACTGTTGTAGGTCATTGGTGTTATATAGTATAAATAAGCTACAAAGCTGATCTTCTGACTCATTATAGTCAGGACAGAACAGTTGAATCATTTTGAAGTGAGTTCCTGGGAGGCAACAACATTTAGAAACAGACAAAGCAGTTGTGAACAACATTGGAGCAAGAGCAGTACCTAACTAAAGTCTATGTAAACTACATGTACACATGTACTGAGACAAACCTCTAGGATGAAGTGTGAGGATGCACAGCTGACGTTCCTTTATTACATTTTGATCACTTTACTCATAGAGGTGACCTCTAGACTGTTGAATAATTTTCACAAAGTATGGATTGACAAGAAATAGATATGGAAAAAACATGTCTGGTGTACGATAGACATTCAGGATGGATGCACACTTGTGAAACATTTGTGAGATGGATGGGCTGATGCGCACTGAAAAAAATGCCATCAGCAGGAGCCAAAATCCTCCTGCAAAATGATTCATGACAAAGATCAAACGTGCACCACTGTGGCTTTTTTTTAACCCGCAGAGAACTGAACGTCCTTTCATCCTCCAACAGTATCCGGAGAACATTTACGCGCAACAATGCGCAGTGGCCAAAACAGTGCCAAACGCATGAGTTGCAGAGCGCGCACGAGAAAAAGGGAACACAGATTGAACGTTACACTTGCCACTCACCCGGGCATATTTGGAGGAGTAGGGATCCTCAAACAGTGCCCACATCCAGGGCTGCCACACCTCCCACCGTGTCGCCCTGCGGCCGTCCTCCTGCATGCACAGACGTTTCAGGTCGCCATCCGCTCCGCCGGTGAGTGCAGGGTCGTCCTCGGGTGGATCCGGTTCGGGAGTCTCAAAGCTGTCCAGGGCTTCTTCTGCATCACGGTGCTGTCGGTAATTCATCCAGCAGCACGCCTCCACGTCCGTCTCATCGATGCCCCAGAAGGCAAGCTCTTCCTCGAAGAGCGGCCCGCAGACATCGTTGGGGCAGTGGAGCTTGCCGGTACGGTAGTAGTTGAGGATGAAGGCGAAGGTGGCCGGGTGGCGGTCAAAGAAGAACTCGTCGGACTTGGGATCGTAGTCGAAGTTGCTGTAGGCGTCGGGCTCTGTCAGCCAAGACAAACGCGTCCCCGGCAACGTCTTTAGGGTGCTCCGGTAGGTCTCGTGTCGAATTCCACCGCAGTTGATGACGATCTTCTCGCTATCTGACGCCGAGCAAGTCATGGTGCTGGAGCATCCTTCGGTCGGTACGTCCGACTGCTGCTGCTGCGGCTACTGCCTTTCCCCATCCACCGTCGGTCCCTGATCTGTATGCTTGTGTTATACTGTACCGCCAACAAGGAGACACAAGTGAGAGAAGGAAGGGAAGGAGGAGTCAGCCTCTCTGCCTCTCTAAGAGAGAGAGGGGGGATCTGCAGGCGCGTGTATATGTACGAAAGAGAGAATGTGTGGGATGCGGATTTTATGAATCAATAGGTTTCCCCGCTGATTGACTGCCTGCCCGCGCGATTGATTTACTGAGTTCGTGTGATTCAAATCCTTTGACGATGTTGAATTCGCGACCTCCACATGAATACCTGAACATGAATACATTTGCTCTTATTCTCATCCCGTGGGTCTCTGCAGCCCGTACTTGTGCAGAGAAATCAGATGTGTTGAACTAAGCAGTAGAGAGCGAGAGCATGCACGTGATCATTGGCTTCTTTTTTTTTCCTTCTGGAAATGCTGAAATACTGATGCGCATCTAGACATTAGCATCTCTATGCCTGCTGAAACAAACCTTATTCAGGAATTTCATTTATTTAGTAGGTTTCGCTTTCCTGGTGTCCAACTTTCCACCACATAAAACTGGCTGCAGGAGAATGCACTCAGTAACATTAGTGGCACTGAATTATTGTTGCATGGCTCTTGTTTTCTCTCTAATTTACAGTTCTGACTTTGAGAGGAGGGGGTAAACGTCACTCTGGCTGACGGATCACAAACCATATATTTAAAAAAAACCTTGTGTGTTTCTCTTGTTTTGGGGTTTTCCTTATTTGGAATTCTCAGCCAGGAAAATCTGAGCATCAGCCTCTTCCATACCTGAAAATCTGTTGCATTTCTATGCAGTAGGTTATGTGTTTTCTGCATCCATTTACAGTAAAAGTATGTATTCATGTACAGTAAATGAAAACATGTGTTGGAATATAACCCAGTTAGGATCGATGCCATTCTTTCCCACTTTGAAATAATTATTCTCAGTGGATTTAATTCAGTATTGTCCCTGCCAAGTCACACATGAAGAGTGGAACAAGATGATATGAATTCAGGCTGCTTTTGTCTCCTTTGTTTGTGAAGTAACCTAATTAAATTTGTACCAGTCACTTGTTCATGTCAGTTTAATCACCCACGTGGGTTTCAGCAAAGGTTTGTAATGTTTAGAACTTTGCACATTCTGAATATTCACATGTTAGCAGTCTCTTTCTTTGATGTGATGAATGAATATCCATAGACTGCATATAAAACGGAGCCTTCTGTTCCTCATTTCAGGTTTCAGTATTGGGGTAGATCACCAATCCATCACAGAGCTTACACACAGACAATCATTCACTCTCACATTTACAGCTATGGGCAATTTGGAATCGCTGGTTGCCCTAACCCCACTGCACGTCTTTGGACTGTGGGAGGAAGCCGGATTACCTGGAGAGAACATGCAAGCGCCACACAGAAAGGCCCAAGCAGGGTGAGGCAACAGTGCTAACCACTGCACCACCATGCTCACCATTCCCAATGGACATAACTTCCAACTGTGAAAAGTAAAGCCAATGCTAACGTGCCCTAACACTGAGTTCTTTCTGCCAGCAGGAGGTGACTATTCTGGTGTCAAAGACGTGTGGTTGAGTAGAAATCCGTTTGTTCCCTTGATCTATGACCTTAGTAAACACTTTGCTGAGGATTTTGTGGGGGTAAAATGGGTATTCCTCTTCACATAAAAACTTTACTAATAACTTGTAACTGACCATATCCAGTTAAGTCATAATTCACATTTTGGAAATAAAATTAAATATTTCTGAAGGAAGGTAACAGTTGTTTATTTCAGTATATATTTTGGCCTTTTTTCATGTCGTCTGGCTTTGAGAAATGCACGTTTTCTACACGGGCAGTGGTGCAGCGATTAGCACTGTTGCCTCACAGCAAGCAGGTCCAGAGTTTTATTCCACCACCCGGCTGGGTCCTTTCTGTGTGGAGTTTGCATGTTCTCCTCATGTTTGCGTGGGCTTCCCCAGTAGTCTGGCTTCCTCCCACAGTCCACAGAAATGCAGTTAGTGGAATTAGGTTAACTGGTCATTCTAAATTGCCCATAGGGGTAATTCTGAGTGTGAATGGTTGTTTGTCTCTATGTGTTAGCCCTGTGACAGACTGGCGACCTGTTGGGAAAGGCTCCAGCGACCCTGAAATGGTGTTTTCTACATACTGCGATGGGCGTGTCCCTCTTAAAATCTAAGCCTATGCATGTCTGAATATATTGATGGCAGATTTGGAAGATCTTTACAGTAATTCTATAACTATTTCTCAGCATTGAGTGACTCCATACTGGTTTCCCTCTATTTGATCTAAAAAATCTGTATAATTAATAACAGTAATATTTTTGAGGGATGTTTCGTGTTCAATTAATAAACAAAAATAGTTGCTACAAAAATGTTTGATACAAAATAAATAAGTTGAATGAACATTCTCCAAATGTGGTGATTCCATAGTTTTTGACTGGGTTGTAGAACTCAGTGTGATGTTACATCGCGTCCTATAGGTGGGGCCATGCTGTGGACGTTTGAGGCACCGAGTATGTTTGCTGAAGACTCTGTGAACGATCGTTCTAGCGCTTTTACGTTCCAGGGAGTTTTATGGTCACAATAGTTTTTAAATACTTTAGCGATGCTGTAACTAACATATTAACATTAAATCTGTTCAATGTAAAATTCTGAATTATTTGTTGCAGTTTTATTAAGGTTGCAAGTGATAAAGCTCTCATCGTCTTTCTCTGTCTCAGCTTCATCCACACTTTTTTAATCTACTAAAACGCTTGGCTCAATTAGGAAGAGCAGGAGGGACATGATGCTGCCTCACGCCCACTTCCCTCTCTCTCTCTATCGCTGTTACTCTCCAAGACTGTCCCCCCACCACCAACTAGAGGGAGAGGGAGAGAGACAGGCCAGAAGCAGAACAAGTATTTGCTGAGGTCCACAGAATGTGGAGGGAAAAGACTGCAGACCATCAGATCATTAGTGCTCTCCCATTTTCTCTCTCTCTCTTTCTCTCACACCGAGTATTCTTTCCATTTCTCTCTCCACCTTTCCTTATCATCCCCACTGCCTGTCGGCCCTCCCTCCTCTCTCCCTCAGTGCAGAGCTAATGTGCTGCGTTGGCCTGTTGAGAACAGTCTGCAGCACTGTGCTTCGTTCTCCACTAATACGTCATGGAAACACACGCACACACGCGTCTACAGAGCTATGCCCTCAAAATATGAAATACAATAAACCACCCAAATACACCAGACCTAAGGTTCAAGCTCTTATCACAATCTGACCACCTCTACACAGTGTTAAGGTTTTAGTACATGGACTGATATTTGATTGGTCGTGCAAACTAAACAAATGGGTTTCCTTTGCCTTACAGAAACCTGGGTACAGCAGGATGATTGTGTTCGTTTTAAACGTTCACCATCCCTGAGTCAGACTAACTGTCAGAATCCTCTAAGCACAGGCTGAGGAGGGGGTGAAGGAGCAATCTTCCGATCCAGCTTATTAATCAACCAAAGATCCAGACAGACTTTTAATTCATTTGAAAGCCTGATTCTTAGCCTTGTTCACCCCAGCTGGAAAACCAAAAAACAGTTTTATTTGTAGTTCTCTATCATTCACGTAGGCGTTACTCTGAGTTTCTGTCTAATTTCTTAGATTTTTTTTATCTGGTTTAGTGCTCAGCTCAGATTAAATAATTATTGTGGGTGATTTTAACATTCATGTAGATGCTAAAAATGCTGCAAGCATTCTGCAACTGAACATTTAACGTCTCCTGTCTGATCATTTCCTGATAACATTTACTTTTACAATAATTGATTACACAGCGGTGGAGAGTAGACTTTATCACAGTAGATGTCTTTCTGAAAGTGCTGTAACTAAGTTTAAGAATATAATCCACCCACTGTTATCATCTTCAATGCCCTGTACCAACACAGAGCAGAGCAGCTATCTGAACG